ATTAAAAACTAACATTTGGCCATACATATATTTGTAAAAAAAAAAAAACAAACATATTCTAATACAGACCTTGTGAGATGATTCCAGGTAGAAATTCTGTAAGTACTGCATTTAAGATTGTCACTTGATGCTTTTTCTTCTCTTCATAACTCCTGAGCAGTGATCCCTGTGGTCTAAGTAGCTCACACTGCAAGGTGGGTAGGAAAGAGAGCCAGCTAACAGAGGCATAATGGGGGGGATCCCACACACTGCCCGGGACCATAAGAGGTCCACTGCGAAGCTCCGTGGCAGAGCTGTCTCCCAGCACGCCACTCAGACAGGTGACAATCCTGAGATGCCTGTCAACTGAAAGTATGGATTTCCTTTACATACACTGTTTAATCTACTAATTCACCTACCAAGACATTAAAGTATGAAAACAACATAACTTCCAAGGCTCCTACATATTTCCAACATTCAACTTAGGATCCAAGATTCTGAACATGCCATCACCAAAAAAAATTGCAAACCTAAAAAACAAAAAAAAGGGAAAATAAATTAAACAAGGGCAAAAGAAAAAGACTTTTTAAGAAGAGGTCAATATTTACTTTTATAAATTTCAAGACATTTCAATATCAATGCTTTACTCGTGTTATAATAGCTCTTAACTTTACTCTAAAACAAAACAGCAAAATACTAAACTACACTCGCCTATGTCATGTGTTTCTAAGTCTGTAAAATGGCACTGGTCCTGTCTTGCTCTCCTGGACGTGCACTACGCACATGTTCATGAAGGACTGATGCGCATACACAAAGCCACAGGCTTTTTCTTGAATACCACACATCTTTACCAGCCACGTTTTAGCTGACAGCAGTCAGTGTCTGTCCTCCAGTGCACTAACTTCTGGCACTTAACATTAAGAAGACACTGACCTCTTATAGCCTCAGAAGGGGCAGTGTAGTCAAGTGGGCTTGCTTTGCTTTCTCGTTTCTATAAAACAAAACAACAAACAAACAACAAAAAAACCCTCTTTTGTTCAGGTAACAAGAAATTAGAATTTGTGTGCATGTGTGAGTTATCACTATGTAGCTTTGGTTAGCTTGACCTGTCTCTGCCTCATGAGCGCTGGGATTACAGGTGTGGGCCACTAAGCCTAGCTAGAGATTACAGTCGGGCCAGTAACTGTCTCTCAGTAAGACTTTCCCTCACAACCACAGTAGGACAGCCTCACTATGTTGCCCATGCCTCTCAAGTGCTGCAACTGTGACTTCAGAAATGTACTGCTCTGCCTGTTCTTCCTAAGACACTGTTAACAGACAAAAATGAGCCATATGACCAATTGCTCTACCATGATTTAAAAACCATGCCTCTGAAGGCCAGAGTGTCATTCTACGGAAAACCAAGAGCTCAGAGTTCTCTCTCCCAAGGGACCTGTAACCCTGTGTACAACCTGCTGATCACTGTTTTTGTCTAAAACAGGACAAGGCTGGCCAGTGAGGACAAGCTGAGACATAGGGGACCAACTGGGGCCAGAGCTCCATGGGGAGGCTTCACCTTGATGCATGGGAACACCTCTCCCTCAGCATAGAATATCACATAGGTGACAGGGTGGGAGTGCTCCCTGAATCTTATCACTCTCCACATGTACAATTAAAGGCTGAGAAAATATTACAGACAAACGTGAAGCAGTGCACAGAAGTGCTGATGAGCATCCGTGAAAGGAAACAGGAAAAGCAACAAGGCATTGCTTCAGAATGCAACTGTCTGCAGGGTAACTAACAACTTGGAAGTTGCCCACTAGACTGGATGGATCTGGCCCCTCTTAGAGCTCAGCAATGAAGCAACTTCACAACCTAGGCTAAAAATGCAGCAACCCCTTGAGGTAATTTCGGAAGCTAAAATGGTACTCTCTCTAGTGCAGGATATGAAATGGCATGGAGAATCCCTTCTCTGAGTTAGTGGTGGCTTAGAGCACCTTTGGAATTTGAGCAAAGAATCTAATTCTCTCCCAGAAATCAAGTCTAGACTTTGAGAAAAGTATTGTTTCTTTAACATACTTAAAAACTTGGGGGGTAGGAGCAGAGCATGAGGCCCCTCTCCATCCCTCAAATGCCATTACCATTCTGTGTGGAGGGCTTTCAGCACCAGGTGACCGCACACGTCTAGAAAGTGGACGACCTCAAAGCCACCTCATTTCAGATGAGGCCTCATGTCTTTTGCTTAGAGCTAAAAATAAAAATATACATGTGAATGAACAAGTGATCATGAGATGAAACCTCTAATATAACACTAAAATATTAAGTATCAGAAGCAACTTTATCTTAGAAAAATGAAAGAACAAACATTTGTACATAGTATCACAGCTCCAGTCTCTCTGGCAGGTCCCTTTCTAACCTTTTAAAAGCTGGAACAGTAATACATCGAATTCCAAGTGTGGTCTACAAAGCCTAAGTCGTATTTCATTCATCTTCTAAAACTGTGATAATTTATTTTTATACTTAAATTAATGACACAGATGAAGTTACAACAGAAAAGTAAGTTACTTATATACATCTATATTTGCACATATATGCATCCCAGAGAAAGTGAAGTACATTGTTGACCCACAACAACAGTCTCAGAGGAAGAAACAGAGCTTTCAGAACTGGTTTCAAGAGCAGTGCTGACATACAGGGAGACTGACAGGTTTCTCCAGTGAAAGCAAGCACTAGCTCATCCAAGTAGTACAGAACATGCCCAATGCCAGACGGCAAAGCCAAGGACACCGACAGGGTCCCAGCCAACTCGGGGCAGCAGGAGCCACTACTTCTACCAGGCAGGACAGCAGAATCCTCGAGGTGCCAGCCAGAGACTACAGGACCCAAACAAACCCACTAAGAGCCGCCATGTGTTTCTATTCCACATCGCTGTCCTCTATCTATAATCAGGACCAAACATGAGTTTCAGAACCCTACATTAATCTCGAAATTCGTTCTTTTGGAAAACATGGCTAGCTCTGATCCTAAACAAGTTTGGGGCTATTTTCAAAGGCCAAACTGACGAAAAGCCACTTACTCAGCACTTCAGTCAACTGGAGCTGTCATTTTAAATTCAGAAATTCTGCTGCAGTTCCACTGGAATTAGCCCTCCCTATAGTATGCTAACACTGAAGATAAACAACTCTGGGGTTTCGTTTCATTCATAAATACCACGAAGTTAAACACAACTCCTAGGTTAGCAAGCAACATCTACATTGCTCTTGTGTGTTTCGCAGGTCTGCTGGGTCTGTGTGTCTTGACATTCTTTACCTCTGTGATTCGCCGTTAGTTCCACCCTCATCTTGCAATAAGAGTGGTCCACACATATTTAGGTCTGCTCATCTTCCAGAACTTTTCATCAACTCCAATTAAATTTAAACTCTAGATAAATATTAATAAGTTATACTGGCCTGCCTCGAAAGTTCTCAGACTTGTGCTTTAAAGGAATACACTATGAGCTATGGCTAAATACTTAAAATAATTATGGGGATAATCTTAGTTCTCATCCTATGCAAGTCTTAAGCAAATCAGATCAGGCCCAAGTTCATGTGGCTGTCTACTGATCACGTGCTGTCTACTGCTCATGTGTCTCCCTACTCTGAGGCAAATTTGAGTCCAGGAAACCTGCTAGCTCCTATCTGCAAGCAGCCCATCCTTCCACCTTCCCCATGTCACAGCGTCCTCTCAGCAATCTGAGGTACATTCATAGAAAATGCAATAGGTACGCATCTTGATATCTGAAGGCATACCTCCCAGTAAAACAGCACTGAAGAAAATCTGTATCTTGGGTAGAAAGCCAGGCAAAACATGCTGCAGAAAGCCCCTCGTGGACTCCACAGTCCTCACAGCTGCTCTACTTCAGCACTGATCCAACCTGAACAGGATGGCAGGAAGCACAGGCATGCTGATGTGATCAGAATCCAACGGCTCAAGTGATGAGTTTAAATATAGCGATACCGCACTGTTTCTGACCACAAATACACTCAAGGCTTAGAAAAACCCCACAGGCACCTGCCTTGAGGTAGGCGCCCAAGACAACAGTGTCTTGTTGACAGCAAGCTGCTACTGAAAGTGTTCTCCCTCATCTCAAGGGGACACAAAAGCCTCCTTTCTCAGGCTCTGCCCACTTCTGTAGACTTTATTCCACACACCATTCCATCCTTCAAACCCTTTCCATTCTTCCTTGTGACCCAAAAGCACAGACCCAGGCAGACCCTGGAACAACCCATAACCCTTTCCCCTCCCCAACTTGTCCAATGAATTCCAATGGCGTTTAATCACTCATTAAGCATCTACTGGAAACTGACAATACACCAATGCTTTCTGAATAAAATGAGATTATTGGAATTTCTGCTGTCATTGTACAAACCAGCAGGTACATTCACTGGTTTGAAATGTTACTTTTCAGGAAAGAAAAGTACCTGGGGCTGAAGGGTACCCCACTGCCCTTCTGCCCTGCCACACTGGGACCAGTCATTCTGCAGGTTCTGGATCACACACAGTCTTGGCTGGGGACTGGGAAGAAGGGTGTCTGAGTTGAGACTTAAGGGCTGGACAGGAAGTGGCTAAGCAGAATATGAACAGTAGCAACCCAGGTAGGGACCTGAGACCAAAATGTGGTATCTTGACATATCAGGCTGAATGGTGTAAAGACAATTTTGAAGAAGAAAACTGGCCCTAATCCAAGTAATAGCCACAGGCAACTTGGGCTGTCGCCTTTAATGAAGGAGCTGAATTCAATAGCCTCAACTCTTGCTACTGGCTTCCCTCGATCCCAAGTCAGTGGTTCTCAACCTTCCTAATGCTGCTACCCTTTACTATGGTTGTGACCCCCCAACCATAAGATTGTTTTCATTGCTGCTTCATAACTGTAATTTTGCTACTGTTATGAATCATAAATATAAATATTTTTGGAGACAGAGGTTTGCCAAAGGGAATACAACCCACAGGTTGAGAACCACTGCCCTGGGGCCAGCTGAGTGCTCTCAGACACAGGACCTGCTCAGAGGTCTCAGCTCCTCTTACTCTTTGGCAATGACTCCTGACCTGAGCATAGTTCCTTGCTGCCTTTGCCCCCTCAGCTTCTCTCCGTATTTAGCACAGCATCCTACAGCACACAGAAGTGTGGAGAATTTGTACAGTGTCTGAATCAGCCTGAGAAGGAAACTACTGGAGAGAAGGAGCAACACAAGAATGTAGCCCTGCTGTGGTGCTTCCTCAGGCTCTGACAGAACATGCAGAAACTCTGACGAGAAGCTCCTTTAACCAAATCCCCATCTACAGCCTGGCTGTTGGCAGGCACATCACTCACGCTCTCTGTGTCAGTGTCCCCTGTGCTGACCAGGCCCTGCATGTGTGAGTGGAATTGTTCCTAGTGTTGTGACTGCTACTGGTGCCAAATCTGTGACTAGCTTTCACACCTGTCGGTCACACACCCTTCCCTTGGATCACATTCATTTTCAAACCTCCTGGAACAGTCTTTCCATTTTGACATTTTAGTAAATGCCAAAAGTTAATGGCGAACACAACTTGTTCATTAGAGAGGGAAATTATGATTAATACATTCTATTAAATGAAAAGAAATACTGAGTAGTCTCATCTTATTCTGTTAGGTGGAACAGGACAGGCTCACATTTCAGTAGAATTATGGGTACAAATTTTTTTTAAATGCAAAGATTAGTTATTTTAGAAAATAGTATTATCCCACTAACAAAACAAGCTGTCAATATTTTTTGCTGGCTTTCTAAGGGTTTGTTTTACTTTTAATTATGTATATGGTGGCTAATGTGCACTTCAGTACAAACACCACTGAGGCCAGAAGTATCTGACCCTCACAGAGCTGGAGTTACACATGGTTGTGAGCTGCCCAATGTGGGTGCTGAGAGGTCAGTACTTGCTCTTAACTGCTGAGTCATCTTTCCAGCACCCTCTTTGCCAACATAAACACACACACACATACACACACACACACACACACACACACACACACACACACAGTGTATAGGCACACACCTATGTCATGGTGCACATGTGGAAGTCAGAGGACAAATTGAGTGAGTCGGTTCTCTCCATCATGCCATGCAGGTACCAGGGAGTAAACTCAGGTTGTCAGTCTTGGCAGCAATCACCTTCACCCAAGGAGCCATTTCACCAGCCTTGGACTTTCTTTTAAAAGCCAATCAGATCATTACAGTGGTGCCCAGAATTAGCTCTCACACTAATTAAACTCAAACAAATTGACCATCCTCTTAGTCTTGTATTCATTCTTTTAAAACCCAAAGAATACCATAAAATTTAAATACTATTGATAAAAATTTTAAAAATAAAAAATAAAGTCCAGATGCATACGTTTTTTTTCTTTAAAATGTCTTAAGAGATCACAACAGGCTGTTTCTATATGCATGTGGCTGCCTCAGTAATAAAGCTTGAAATGTATGAGGCTTTGATACTTGGGTCCTGCTCACAGGAAGACACTGTTGTCTACAAGAGATTATTAGATTCTAAGCAGGATGAAAGCAAAAAACGCCTGTCTTTGGGCCACAACACAGAACCCAAACTTTTGGGTTATTTGTTAGATTATTTGCTCCATGAAATGAATGCCATAATATTTTTTCCTGTCTTTTACAAATTATTCATTTACTTTTTGATAACTTATTATTGATAATGTATTTTGATCACATTCACCCTCCATTCCCCTTTCTTATCCTGCCCCCACTACCTCTGACCCCTTCTTCCAAACACATCTTTCTCCTACTTTCTTGTCTTTAAAAATATATATATATATATTTAACCCACTAATTTAATTAGGGTTGCTCAGATGTGCATTGGATCATGGATACCCCCAGTAGCTAACTTTTCATTAACTGCTGACAGCTACTCAGCTAAGGACAGGGTCTTGTCACAGTATTTTTCATATTAGCTTTATTAAGGGTAACTGAGACACTGTGGTTTCCAAAGGAGAGACAAGTAAGACCTGATGAGCCCTTTGGAAGAGACTACCGTAGGCATGAGGAGCTCCGATGCCCGAGTGTCAGAGGTTCAGAGGACTCACGTGCTTTAACTTTCTGTGAGTCACTCAGATACCACAAAATTGCCTGTCTGCAGAAAAACTCCCTTCCCTCCCTCCATACCTGCTCTCCCCTCAGCCTCTTGCACTGAAGGGCGGACCAGCTCCACCCCATGCCAGCTCATACCTCCCCCCACCCCCTCTCAGCGCAGCCACTGGTCACAGTAAAGGCAAGTGGTCATCTTAACTGAACAACAAACAAGAAACTTTAAAATAATTGTGGAAATGTTCAAATATAAACACAATAAACAGAGGAGCACTGACGGGTAACCCACACCCAGTTTTAACAGTTATTCTATCATCTTTGTTTCACCTACCTCTCCAGAGAAGCCTCACCTCCCAATGTCATGGTAATTAATGTTTACCCTCCCCACCTAAAGCACAATCTGCAAGGTGTGAGCTGTGGCTTGCTTTGTGACCTTAACCATCTCTTATCACACAGCTCTGTGGTCTGAGTGCATTCACACTGTTAGTGACCATCTCCGCCAAGGTTTTCATCTTGCAAAGTACAAGCCACATCCACTAAACACCACCTCCCATCCATCTTCCCTCCTTTCTGACTTGATGGCTGCCTGTGGCAGGTGCCTCTGAAGTGGAAGCATGCTTAGGATTTCTGTGACCCGTTGTTCACTGTTTTCCTTAGCCTAATGTCCTCAAGGTTCACCTGCCAGCCACGTACAGCAGAACTTCTTTTCCAAAGCTGGATCATATTCCACTCATTCATCCAGGGCTCTGCAGCTGCCTGCACCTTCAGGCAACTACGACTAAAGCTACAGTGAGCATGGCTGCCTGAGTATCTGTTTAAGTATTTGCTTTCTAGTTTTTCAGTATGCATACCCAGAAGTGAAATTTCTGAATTGTGTAGCAATTCCATTCCTTTGTTTGAGGAGCAACCATACTGTTTTCCACAACAGCGTTGCTACTTTCTGTTCCCACGACAGTGCACAGGATGATAAACGGGCATTTGTAAGGCAGTGAGCACCTGACAAAAACACAGTGTCTACAAACAGCTTTTGTGTGTGCTGTTCTATTCGGTCCTACAAATGTGCTGACTCACTGAGCACCCTCCTCTGCTGGTGAGTACCTGGGACATTTATTTCTGGCCCCTATATGTCTGTGTAAATGTTTTCTCCCCATCGGAGGCTGAAGTTGACTGCTAACATACTACTAGACACACTGCTAAATTACACACTAAGTACAGCAATAGCAGGACTTTTAAAAGAAACACATGCAAATGTACGTGAAATGAGATAACCGTTGATGCTCCCAGGAGATTGACTTAGCCCAGCTGTATCTTTACTAGTAGCTGTCACAAATACTGCCATGTCACTATTAAATAGCTCAAGTCTAAACACACTATATACAAACTACTTCCAAATAATACAAACAACCAAACAATAGCAGCCAGAACTCAAAATCTAAAACGAATTTTTTGGGCACACTTTTAAAACCCCCAACCTATGGGGACACGGTCTGCATCAGTAAGCAGTTCCCACAGTCCCCCCAGAACCACAGACACCAACTGTCTGGAACCACATCCAATGCTGATAATGTTTAGCATCCCAAGGAACATCAGGCAGCAAGAATAAACATGCAGGCATGCTCTTTATCTAGCTATAAACTAGGCAAACTCACCCAAGTGCTGTATTAAGATTTAGGGATTTAAACCTTAAGCCCACACACTCTGTGTTGCTCTATCCACACAATGCACATTATTGTAGCATTATTCACAAATAAGAAAGTTATAGAATCCAAGTATAGGCCAACAGATAAATGAACAAATATACACACAGTGGAATTTTATTCAGTCATAAAGAACGGAATTACGTCATCTAAAAGAAAATAGAACTATAAGTTGCTATTAAATGATAGAAATCACATTCAGAAAAACAGATAAGCATTCTCTTAGATATGAAATCTAAATTCAAAACAAGAATGTTGCAGAATCCACAAAGGGCAGAGACAAGGAAGGGTAAAGGGAGTGATTATACATGTTATTAAAATAGCATCAGGTAACAATATTTGATAGTAGTATTTGATAAATAAACAATATTTGATAATTAAAAATAAAGTTAAGCTGGCAAGATGCTCAGTAGTTGGTGGTGCTTGCCACCAAGATTGATGACCTCAGGTCCATCCTGGACTCGCACGATGGAAAGAAAGCACAGACTTTTGCAAGTTGTCTTCTGACCACCAATTTTATGACATGGCACAAACGGCCACTCATACAATAAACAGACAATAAATAAATAAATGCAATAAAAAAATTTAAGTCCATGCTTCATACTATATCATCCTATTTTGGGCAGGACATGCTAAAAGACAGGTAAAGACAACAAACCCCACCCCACTAATATTTATAAGCAACACTGGCTCCTCAAGAGAATGAGACTAATTCTGTCAAGGCTCAATCAAGAAAGTCCTGCAATTGACTGTTCAACTGGTCAAGCAATGACAAAAAACAAATTTCGACCACACCTAAAGAACCCTTTAGGGTTGGCTGAGGCGAGCATAAATTAAAAAGACAAGAATTAAGAACAGAGGGAGAGGGCAGCACTGGAAGCCGTGGGGGGAACTGGAGCAAAGGGAAAGGACAGCAGGGCAATGAATAGCTAACACTCACCGCAGGGAGGGTGCTTTCTTCCTGGGGCCTGACACATAATGACATACAGGGTGCTCTGAGCGATTGTCCTCAAGCTCCAGACAGCAACACCAGCATGGAGCTGAGTGAGCACACAGCGGAGGACAGAACAGCACGCCACCCATTTAAGCGGGAGGCCCTGGCAGAGGCATGGCAGTAGGGTACAATTTTCAGGGCATATCAAGGCCAACTGTGTCGTAGACCATTTCTGGGGATGGTGGTGGTTATAGTGTTTAAATAAGGGGGCTGGGGAACATAACACATTAAGATCTCCAAAACACAATTCCATGGCTGCATAGCAGAATCATCACTGCAGAGCAGATGGCGCTTCCTAGGCAGGAAACACAGAATTGATAAGCTTCACTGCAGAGTCATAATGACCACGCTCTAGAGTCTGTCGCTCCCCAGGAAAGATCAATACGGCTTCCTGAGAACAAGACACAAGCACTGTACATAAAAGCTGCAATGCTACAGCCAAAGACATACTGTCCCCTATTAACCAACTGCTCAGGGTTAGGCATGGTTTAAAAAACACACAAGTAAGAGATGAAGAATAGAATGATCAGAAAAATGACTTGTAACAATAGGTAGGGTGAGGGTGAAGGGTGGACACAGCTTTACAGTCACAAGGAAGAACACCTCACAAATCCCGGACACACACACCTGCCTACTTTTATGATCCTCTCATGGCTTCTGAAATTGCTCATTCGACTTCAACATAATAAAGGGCGTACTCTCAATTCAAACTGCACAAAAAGTTTCAAATAAATGCTGACCACTGCTATCGCTTTCCAAAGTTCTATCATTTCATTGTATCCCCAAAGCATCCGTAACT